ACAAAAAATATTTGTATATGTTATTTCTAAATATGCATATGTTATTTAATTACTGATACATAAAAGGAGTTAATTATTGGTATTGTTTATTTTAACATGCTTACACAAATGTTATCCTAACCAAAACATTCATATCTTTTATTTTATTTTCTCTAGGCAACTGAAGCATATTCCAGTGATAACACACCCAGGAATGAAAACAACAAACTAGGACAATTCTCACCATGCCTCGTATTTACACACTAGTCTGCTATTTTAAAAGCATTACACAGGAGCTGTGTTAATTCTGTTGTTCTTTTAAACCCTGTTCCTATAATAATGGTCTCTTTATTACTGTAAATTATTTTCTGTGATATACCACTGTAAAAAGTTTATAAAGCCTAAATAATTGTATATAGGTAAATGTAAATATATTTATCATTTATAAAAAAATATGAAGCCTCCAAAGTAATATATTTCTAAAAGAATGCTAGTTTTAAGGTAAACATAAATACAAAGTATATTTTTGCTAAAATTCAATAAAGAATTAATTTACCGCACTTAAATTAGTCCGTGTTTTTCTCCACTTTGCAGTTGTGAAAATGTTTTAAAAGTGTTTATTTTTTTACTGAAATTTATAGCAGTAACTCTCTCTCTCTCTCTCTCTCTCTCTCTCTCTCTCCCCCGTACTTCTCTACTATACACATACATTTCCATATGTTTTGTCTCTTTAAATGCAGCAAATATTTTCTGATGCTACAAGTACAGAAAAATACCAGTTGAGCTTGCCAGAATGTTATGGAGATTAGGGGATTCTGCAGTCTAGGTTAGGAAAAGCTGACAACACTGCCTGATATTTTAGTGCAGCAGAGGTAGTGTTGTCAGAACTAGGAGAACAATGTATCTGTAAAAAATAAGTCAAGTCAACTGGACTTGCTGTATATTTCTTGAAGACGTTTCACTGGTCATCCAATCAAAACATTCATCATATTTATTCCCAGATAATTTTTTTACAAGTCATTCTGAATTGATAAAGCTGGTTGGATGACCAGTGAAACATCGTCAAGAAAAATACAGCAAGTCCGGTTGCCTCGACTTATTTTTTACAGATATACCATGACCTGGATGAATGAGAACCTTTACAGACATACTAGGAGAACAATGGATTTCAGGCAGATCAACAGGTATTTTTCTGTACATGCATCTTTTTAAAAACATAGGGAAATATGCATGTATTGCAGATATGTGCTAAATATTTTTTTTCTACTTTAATTTGCCAGGACATACATTTTAGGTATACAGAGACTCATGCACAATTGTTGACGGTGTGTTTAAATAATGGAAAATGATCACTCAGATCAGATATATACTAATAACTATGCTAAATATACTAAACTGTTACATAGTTACATATAAAGGTGAAACTCGAATAATTAGAATATCGTGCAAAAGTAATTGCAGTAAGTGCTGCCAAAAGGGGCCCAAACCAAGTACTGAGTACATATGCATGCTTGTACTTTTCAGAGGTCCGATATTGTTCTATGTACAATCCTTGTTTTATTGATTGCATGTAATAATCTACTTTTTTGAGGTTGTGGATTTGGGGTTCTTGTGGTTTTCATGAGCTATAAGCCATAATCATCACAATGATGACAAATCACGGCTTGAACTATCTTGCTTTGCATGTAATGAGTCTATCTCATATATTAGTTTCACCTTTTAAGTTGCATTAGTGAAATAAATGAACTTTGCACGATATTCTAATTATTCGAGTTTCACCTGTAGTTACTGCACATAGTTAGTCAGGTTGCAAAAATACAAGTCCATCGAGTTCAACCTATAGAGAAAAGAAAAAAGAAAGAAACAATTACTGTTGCAATAAAAAAAATTCTGATGAACAGACGAACACCCTAGATTATAAGGAGTGCAGTTACAAACAATAAGATACAATCATAGGCCTATTTGTTTTATAAGCAACATTACGAGGTTGCGCCAATACCGTTTTTATGGTAACGAGTACAAGTACTGATATTTTGCTTTTGGTACCGATAACGGTGTTTCCGCTGGCATGGAACCGGCTTCCTGGGCACTCAGGAAGCCGGGCGGCAGGTAATGACTTGCCTGGCTCCATGTTGTTTTCCCGGCTCGATTGTGATTGGCCGGGAAACCGGCTTCCCAGCCAATCAGCATCGATAAGAGTACCCGCCCAAATCCTCGGTATCGGCACCGATACTGGTATTGGTGCATCCCTAGTTAGAAGACTTACATTTTTGGCCAAAGCATTTTTTGCGTGTGTATTCCAAATATCGACAAAGCGTGGGATATAACCTTGTAATGCTGCTAATATTCGGATAGGACCTATAGTGTCCCTGGACTTTTCTTCTTTTTTGCAACTATTTATAAACATTGAATGGAAGGCGTGCACAAAAGCCCAGCTGTAACAGAAAGGCAGCTTGAAACTGATCTCTAAAAGGCATCCCATAAAGATTAGCAACATCGGTTTATCAGAGAGTGGGCAACTCAGGGCCCTCCAGCTGTTGTGAAACTACAAGTTCCATGAATCATTACAAGACTGATAGTTACAAGCATTACTCCCATAAGTAGAGGCATATTGGGAATTATAGTTAAAGCACAGCTGGAGGTCCAGAGTTGCCCATCCCGGTCTAAGATCTTGCTCCAGGAAAACTGTGAGTGTTGCACATCTTCTGTTTGGACTTATCACTTAGCTAGAATTTTAGAGCCTAAAGTGGAAGACAGCGCGCCAGAATAAAGGCATAGTTCAGTTACTAACAGACCTATATAAACTAAAAGTCATAGTATCTTATCTTCTGAAATGAGGTCGCATGAACCTGCTATCCTGCTCCTATTTTAAAAAGACTTGGTCACCTTGCCCATGCAGGGCAAGTGATGATTTCTCTACAAAGGACATCCCCTGACCCACCTATACCCACATTAACGTTGCTACTCTGCAGCCGGTGAGAATACCTGTCACTTCCAGGTATGGAGGAGCATGTGACCTGCCCCACTCTGACAATGCCGGGGGCTAGCAGCCAATCACTAATCCTGAGCAATGTCACATTATAATGATTATTATACAGGATTTATATAGCACAGTTTGCGCAGCACTTTACAATATAAGGAAGACATTACAATTACAATACAATTCATGACAAGATAGTAAGGAGGGCCCACAAACTTAAAGGGAGGGGCAAGTGATACATGAGGAGGTAGTTGTGTGAGGATGATTTTTTTGAGAATGTGATAGTTCAGTGGTTTGTTTGAGGAGGGATAGGCTTCCATGAAGAGATGAGTCTTTAGGGATTGCATATAAGGCAGTCAGAATAGCAGGTAGACAGACAGATTGGGGTAAGGAGTTCCAGAGGATGGGAGAGACACTAGAGAAGTCCTGGGGACAAGCATGGGAGGAGTTAATGAGGGAGCTAGAAAGCAGGAGGACTGTAAAGGAGCGTAGGGGTCGGTTAGGGTGATACTTTGAGACAAGGTTTGAGATATAGCCGGGGGCAGAGTTGTGGATGGCTTTGTAAGTGATTGTTAATATTTTGAATTTTATTCTTTGGGTGATTGGAAGCCAGCGGATGGATTGGTTGCATACACTGAGCGGTTGGTTAGGTGGATGAGTCTAGTATTCCTGATAAACTGAAGGGGGGATAGCCTGTGTAAAGGTAGGCTAATGAGGAGGGAGTTGCAATAGTCAAGACGAGAGATAACAGTGAATGAAGAGCTTTCTGGTTTCATTGGTGAGGAAGGGGTGTTTTTTTTTAGATGTTACGTAGATGAAAGCGGCAGCAGATAAGGGAAGTATAAGGGAGGCTAGGGAATGACCTTTGCAGAGATGCTGTCACTTTGCCCTGGACTGGATGGACAAAGATGACAGTGTGGCTGATTTAATAACGGAGTAAAGCGTGTTCACTTTGCAAGGGAGCTTTTGTTTAACTTAGCATTTGTGGTTAAAGTGTGCTGAATCTTATAATCCATTCATGTGCCAGCAATATGCATGTGTTTTTAGGAAAAATCTATACAAGTAGCTCTTTTTATAAAGTGAATTTTTACCACAATCTCGCTTGATTGAAAAAGTTTAGTAAGTCACCCAGAGTTTCCTTGCCACATAAGGCTACCACTTACAGCTGGTCAAGTCTGCAAGCCCTACGTCGGCTTCATTCCCTTTTGCTATAAGCCCATGGACACTTCATTGACCATTAACATATGGCAGAAGAATCCCCCAGACCAGTGATGGCAAACCTTGAGCCCGAGTCCCCAAACTAGATCACTAAACCAATTTATGTATCTCAAAGTGCCAAACGTGCAATTAGACCCGAATACTGATGATTTCTTAGACACACATACATATCACACACCTATTAAAAACACACACACACACATCACAGACTCAATAAAACACACATACATATCACACACCCAGTGACGTAACCAGAGTAACGGGCGCCCGGGGCAGAACAAAATTTTGCGCCCACCCCCCCGGTGATATGTGGGGGTGCGCAGATAAAATGAGAGCATGCTGGGACATATCGTAATTGAACTACAAGTCCTAGCATACCCTCATTGTCCCTCTACATCCCCCCAAAATATTACCCAGGGAACTACAAGTTCCAGCATGCCCTCATTGTCCCTGTACGACCCCAAATATCACCCAGGGAATAGTAACAAGCTGATTGGGAGGCTCCTGTCCTCCTTCTGTGCAGGGGAGCCGGGTCCCTGTAAGAAAGGAGCCTGCCAATAAACTAGTTATCATGGCAAGTGGGCCATGCTATTTTTTACTTTTTAATCACATTTTACTTTTTTTAATTTAATAATTTTTTTCTTATTATTTTTTACTTATTGTTTTTTTATATTTATTTAATTATTTATTTATCAATTATTTTTTTTCACTTAACTTTATCGCTATCACACTAGGAGCTAGGACTTGTAGTTCAATTACGATATGTCCCAGCATGCTCTCATTTTATCTGTGTGATAGCAATTGGATGCTCTCATTAAGCCCCTGTGTGATAGCAATTGGAGGTGACAGGTTCTCTTTATTGAGCCTCTCACCTCCAAGACAGGAGTTCTAGCACAGCACTGTGCTGGAACTCCTGTGACAGGTGAGAGGGGAAGCCTGTTCTCCCCTCTCACTGTTTGCACGGACCGGCAGTGTTACCAGGGATCCCAACCTGAAAAAAGCAATTTTAGGGAGGTGCCCTTCTCATTTCAGGG